CCCCCCCCCCCCATGAATAGCTGTCTAGAATCATCTTGGATCAAGCCAAAAAAATCGGCTTGAAAATTGACATGAATTACATCGAAAAATCAACTTGAATGGAGTCGAAAAATTGACCTGAATCAAACCGAAAAATCGATTTGAATCACGCCGAAAATCAAACTGAATCAAACCGAAAAATCGATTTATCGGATTGATTCAAGCTGATTTCGGCTTGACACGTTTCTTTTTAAAATAATCCACTTTTCGGCGTATATCAGGCCCGACATTGGGATTAATGGAGTCCGAGTCACTCGACTTGAAATAGATCGAAAATCAACTAGAATCAAATCGACATCCATTTGTATCAGTATGTTTTTTTTGGGTACACATTTATCAAAAATGAGGATTTGCAAAGCAATTATTTTTTGACGTCGTCTCTACTCCTTTTATTGACTGGTGATGAATTGATTTTATTTTCTGACCCTCTGTCTCTTTTCCCTACTCAATATTACTTCGCTATCCGTTTGACCCGACTATCCCACTTTATGTCGCTCTCCTCTCGGGGATAACCATATCCATAAATAATAATTACTATTAAATTATCACGTAGTCAATTAGTTAATATCACTTTTAAATTTCAATTATTCAAGTAATTATCAACTTAAATAGTCAAATTTCAAATTATTCATTAATCAGTAATTAAATTAAGAAGAGTGACGATTATTTGGATAATCGGAAATCCCTTATAAGCAATTTAGTATTTTTTTCTTCTCGTATACCCTTTCGGGTCTTTACGATTGGCCCCCCCAGCCGGGAATCGAACCCGGGTCTCCCGCATGCCAATCCCACACTTTAACCACACAGCCACCGCCGTCGGTAAGAAATTTAGTATTATCTACTTGATAGAAATTTTCTAGTTTCATATTTGTAAATATTTAATTCATCATCAATTGGAAATTTCGATTAGTACATTTAAACCGTGATCAATGTAAGTCGGAAATTCTTTTAATATTTAAGAATCGGAAGATTGATAGCCATCCCTGTCTCCCCTATGAATTTTTCTTACGTTATATCACTCATCTCAATTCTTAATTGTGATATGGTGTTACTGATCGGGGATACCCCAAGAAAAAGTTGAGGAATCTTTTCTGTCTAGGGAAAAGTTTCTCCCGAAAAATGTAACTTTTTGACTTGAACTCCTTCGTTTCTCAGTCAAAATAATCATCAACGAAATCATTGCATTCTAGGAAAACTGTTCTACGCATTAACTTCTAAATAAAGTAAATGAAAGAGTTTGGTGATTCTTACTCCCAACAGATTTGGGTCTGCAAAGTAATCACAAGCGCTTGGCAGTACTTCATCGTCGCTAATTACGCCTGGATCTTCATGGAGGGACTCTATCTACACAATCTCGTTTTTCTCGCATTCTGCGCTGACACCTCTGCAATAACTGTGTATATAATCCTCGGTTGGGGATTACCAGCAATTGTAGTTGGGGCGTGGGTTGTAATTCGAGTTCTGATGGAAGACACACTCTGCTGGACAACCAATAATAACCCCTACTTTTTTTTAATCATTCGAATTCCCATCATGGTGTCCATCCTGGTAATTAGTCAATTTCCCAATTATTCCAGACCAATTCCTCTGTTTTTATATCGGATTGATTTGCCGTTCTTTTCAGTTGAACTTTATTCTTTTCTTGAATATCGTGAGAGTATTATTGATAAAAATGAAGACATCGGTGCACTTACAACGGAAAAAAATGCATTATGGGTAATTATTCATTTTTTCATAATTGAATAAATTAATAGTATTTTTCGTCATTAGAGCGAAAAAAAAAATTTTTTTTAGGCCCTATGATGAACAATACTTTTTGTCATAACTGCTGTAAGCAGTGATTCACGGAATCGCTGCCTTACGGCTGGACTGACAAAAAATAATATCAATGAAGAACTGCGTAACGAGATGCTTATCTCCGTGCGTTGTCATGTCAGGAGAAATCATCAACCGATTTTTTTCAGAGAACTACTTTACCAGCGACACAAAAGTTTCTTGACGTTTTGCACTGGAATCAGCCATTCCAGTGATGAATATAATAATATTAATAATGGAATAATGGTCTTGAGATGATATACATTAATTCTCAATCAATGATTTCTGATTAATCTAACAGAACAATAATCAAAACCATTTGATAATTTTGATTTGACAAAAGATCGTGATCAAATCTCTTGAATCCTTCTTTCTCAAGATATATTCACAAATAACAAAGGTGTCGCTCGCGGAAAGTGATTTCCTCTCACTGAATTTTTACTTACGCATTTTCTCCAATAAACACAGATTATTTTCTATTCAAGGAGATGGGCTAAGTCGACACTGGTGTTGGTTCCCCTCTTCGGAGCCCATTATACTATTTTTCTAGGATTGTCTTACCATCACGATCATCAGGTGGAACTCATCTGGCTGTTTTGTGATCAATTATTCGCTTCGTTCCAGGTAACTTTTTTATTGTTAATTTAGAACAATTTCCAAGATTAAACACTGTAAACTGAACCGTTAACCCCACAAGATTCAAGAAAAATTTAAAACATGCGATTCGAGCCTATCCGACAGACGACATATGACCGTTACTTTTAGCATCACTAGTCTTTTTATTTTTTTAATGCTACGAATTTCATTGATAGTAAGCTTCCGAGAATGGATCTGCTGTAATTTATTATCTTTGTGACAGGCATGCAACTGCCAGCACGTTCTACAGGGAGATTTTGTAACCTTTTAATGAAATAGATTTATCATATATGATATTTTAAGGATGTATATCCAAAATCGCGAGTATTCAAAAAAAATTGTGTTTTTCTTTCAACTGAGAGATGAAGTTATTCCCTTTATCTTGATAAAAATTTCAATCCACCAACCCACGTTTATTATTTAGAAATTAAGTGGACATAATGCACCAAACGCATGCGCTAAGATGCGCTTATATGGGATAGAATCTTTCAAATATTTCCTCTTTTCGCACGGGTACCCCAATAGTATTTTTCCGGGCTGCTGCGAAGGGGTTTTTTACTCGTATCGCGTTGGCGACCGAGCCGAAGGCGAGGACGCGTAAAAAAACCCCATCGCAGCAGCCCGGGATACGATTTTTTTGTAGTGATTTTCAAGTTTTCTAGTTTGGGAAGTATGCAATGCCAATTCCCAGACGAGAAATCGTGAGAAGCAGTACAGAAATTTTTTTTCTGGCCATTCGATTCAGTATAGTTTTGCACATTACCTTCTATTTTTATTTCTATTTTTAGAGTCTTATAGTGGATGAATTATAAATTTCAACATAAATCCCATAAGAGCCCGTATATAAGGAAAAATTTGTTCATTTATTTCTGGCGAGACTATTGCGATTAATTTTTTTTAACATCAAAGAAATTAGCTTAAGCTGATAGCAGAACATATGAATTCATATGTTCTGCTATCAGCCAAAAAAATTATCGAATTTTCCTTGAACATGAAAAAATAAGATTTGCTGTAAATGGCTAAGCATCCTTAAATTGTCAAGTGCTGAAAATGGATGTGTTAAATCTGTGTGTTGAAATTTACGTATCAAGATACGCGGCAGCGTATCGGCCAAGAAAAGTTTTGACTCTGATTGTACACAACATCAGGTCGATCGCTGCCGTGTATTATACACGAAGCAACTACCCCCTCCACTACCTCCGAATCATATCCATTAAATAAAATATAAACGTGACGAGCTACATGAAAAATACTCTTCGTTACATTATATAAATTGGCCACAAGCTTCTCATTGATGTAACTATTTTTTTGTTCGAAGCAATATTTAAAAAGATACGCGCATAGCAACGGATTCATATGCACATTCTCGCATTTCACATCAACTCCTGTCATTTTTTTGTTACGGAGTTGGTAGCAGTGCAATACAACCACATGCACCAAGGAGGGAAGCCCGGGAATTTACAAATTGAATATGGTGCCCGAATGATGAATTCCACAGATATTTTTCAATCAAGTTTCGTGCACAAATGAATTCTCAAAGAAGCAAATTCAGTCGGAAAATCTTGAACAAATAATTAAAAGTCGGCGCAAATAACGACTGTGGAATAGAACTATTTGTTTTACTTCAATTGTTAATTGGAAAGATGATTTATCGTGTGAAAAATAAGTGAGCCGAATTGAATTGAAAATGAAAGAATTTACAGGATATAAAAACGATTCCTTGTTTATTTTGAAAAAAATAATGAAATCTCCCTAAACAAACAAAACAAATGTTTTTGTAAAAAAACAGCGGCAAGAAAAAGTTTTGTTTGGTTCTTACTAGGAAGTAGAAATTTTTGAAAAATACAAAGAAATGAAAAAGAAAGCTCCGTCAGCAATGTCGAATAAACGAAAATAGTGCACAAACAGATTTCTATAAGAGAAATTGAGGATTAGAAAAAAATTCTTGATGAAATAAAAAATTAGTAAAAGGAGGACCAACGTTCTTGGCGCGGAGTTTTTCAACTCATTGTCTAGTATCAATCTAATTGTCCATCTTCTGATCCGCGCCAAGGACGTTAGTATTCCTTCTACTAATTTTTTATTTCATCAAGAATTTTTTTAAAATCCTCATTCGATTTGAAACAATTTCTCTTATAGAAATCTGATTGTGCACTATTTTCGTTTATTCGACATTGCTGACTTGGCTTTCTTTTTCATTTCTTCGTATTTTTTAAAAATTTCTACTTCCTAGTAAGAACCAAACAAAACTTTTTCTTGGCGCAGTTTTTAAAAAAAAACATTATTTTGACCGGTAACCGATAAAATATTTACACAGGGGTGTTTTGTGGCTCTTCTCTACTGTCTGATGAACGGTGAAGTGCGCGCTGAAATGAGACGAGCCTGGAGGGCTCAGCGATCTCGACGAGGTGCCGATTCTCTCATATTGACTCACAGAAACTTCGGAAAACCCGGAGAAAGAAGCCAAAGAAGTATTAGAGCAAATAACGCCAACAGTAATATATCAATGTTGTAAATTTAATGAGAAAATTACATTATTTAATTAATTAATTGTACATTAATGGTCGAGTTAATTACATAGAATTAAGCGTAACAGCTTCCCTGATTCTGCAGACACCACTCGGGCTCCAGACTATCAGCAAACACTCCACGTTTGACTAGACGTTCACGATGTCTGAGCATTCTCTGTTCTGCATGGATCCAGGACCCCGGCTCACTCCAGAGTCTTTCAGCCATTGCTGCTGATCTTGGCCACAGTCGAGAGTCTATCGACGCGCTGTCCGCCTGCTCGGTCCACAATGTTGCCTCTCCACCTGTCATTACATCATCATCAATTATTTTTGAGATAACATTTAATCATTTGGAAACAAAGATTGATTTATAAAAATTTTGAATACCGAGAATTAAATGTTTTTTCGAGTCATCGAATCCTTGCGACTTGATCATTTGTAAGGGGGAGTTCTCATATATCTTCTGCCAGCCTTTGTAGGGGGTGCACCAATTGTTGCCTTCACCTACCCATGCGCTGAAGCTAGGGAAGAAATTATTGATGATTGAACTATTGGGTAAATCATAAATATTTTCAATTCTTTTTGAAAAATGGGGGGATGTTAAAATCTAACAGAATTACATGAAGGGATGAAACTCTTTCAATGCTTATCAAAAGAATTTTTGTGGGGTCTTTTGTTGGGTGCAGGAAATATCGTCTGACATTATTTTCCTACAATTCCTGTATTTTTAGGTAATTGCGTAATTAATTCCAGGCGACCTATTGTCTTGAGGCCTCTATAAAGTGACATGAAACATAAAAAACGTTCTGTTACTTCTGATCCGCGGACAAAATTTCTGCGACAAAATAACCGACCACAATTTATCCATTGGCAATATTTCCACCGACAGTTTCTCCCACATTCATTATCCTCGAGGTACTAAATAACCACCGACAAATTTGCCGGAGTTTTCATTCAGCTTTCATCCTCTTTTGAACCAATATCAAGTGCAAAAAAGAAAAAAGTGACGTAGAATTCAGGAATACCATTTAATTCGCAATTTTCAATTCGATAATTCACATTTTACATACAATTACAATGCTTTCGTCACTTCAGCAAACAAGTTCCCTCCGATTCATAGGAGCCCGCTATTACGATTGATAAATCTACATTATAACCATTCTATAAAATTACAAATAATACTGAACTAAAATCAAATTAAATGCAAATTTCATAATACTGAATTTGTATAATAGTGAATTAAAAGCAAATTTCGTGTGAGGTAACGCGGCTATCAGTGATTATACAAATGGGGAAACATTGTGAAGTAGTGAATTTGATTGCAATCGAAAAGAGAGAGGGTTATCGAGAACCCTCGCTACTTACTGTTTATCACCCGAAATTGTAAACACATGAAATATCAGACGCATGAATTTATCGACAGATATAATGTACCAGAATAAATTGGCGGCAGATCAGATGGCAACAATACAATTGTCGCTGGAGAAATTGTCTTCAGTTTTTTTTTCATTTGGGAATTTTGTTGCGGACATTTTGTCGCGGAGATTTTGTCCGCAGATCAAGAAGCGTGTTACCATAAAAAATATGCAGAAATGAACTTTCGCTCCACTAGTATGATGCAAACATACTACAAAGAAATTCCAACAGGTATCGACAATACAATTTGTTCGATAGGAATTTAGATGAAAGTTTCATTATCTCCCTACACTGAATTTGTCTGGGATTTATAGAGTGCAGTAATTATTCATAAAACCGTTTGACGATGAAGCCCACGTACGGAGAAATTTCCCAAAAAACACTATCAGGGATGGTTGAAAGACATGAATTAAAAAATTCCAGACGACTTAGTTTTAAGAATTATCTCTTGATCTACTATTCTTTGAAGTCCAAAGATGTTTGTAAAAACCTTTTGACATTTTCTTCTCGTATCACTCGTTTCAGAGAAATATGTAACTGGAATTCTCTCGCCCGGTGGTACGAAAAGTGAGATGCAGAGACGTCTTAGTCCTCAAAAATCTCCTATGGTGTTCATGGAAAAAATCATATCTTTTCTCAGTCCAAAAATTCTTTAGAAATACCATTCCGTCGATTTTTTTCGTTTTCAATACGGACCCAGAATAATTTTCAAATTTCTGTTCCTGTCGATGTCCTTTGTTCATTCCCACTGAATTCACCTCCAAACCCAATCGTAAATCATTAAACTCCTAAAACCATCTAAAAATACATTCACGTACCCGCAATCGAGATAAAGTGCGTCATAATTGGAGAAGATCATCCTGAAATTATTCTTAACCAGTCGTCCAATAGTAGCATCACTCCCCGTCGTCCAAATTTGAATTATATATCTATTAGGATCCAAATGGTGGATATTACTCTCACTTGTAAGCCCACTGGTCCAGAGAATAACCGGAATATCCTTCCCATTGTTAGCCAGCTTCAGTTTCTGATAGGCTCGCTCTTGGAAGGTGGCCCATAAATCGATGAAACTGGACTCAGACAAATTCCAGCCTTTCTTCAACATCCACTCTTGAATAGCAGACGAAGAGTTCCAGCAGTTGATGTTTACCTGGCGATACGAAATAAGAGTAATGTAATAGAAATTATTTTTCACTATATTGAGACGGTCGAAATGAGATATATCCTGTCATTGTTTGGGTGCTGTGGGAATTCGTGACTTCAATAGGGAATAGTGTAATTTAAAAATCATTGTGTTAATGAGTGATTTTCAACTATCAAAGAGCTCCTCTACATAGAGAAGAAAGGATTCTAATATCCAGAATCACAGTACCGAATTTAAGAAACTTGGGGTTCTTGAAAGCATCGTACTGAGGTACAGGAAATAGTTATTTAATTTGTTTAATGTAAAAATCTGTAATTCCTTAATAAGGACGTTCTTAGTTCAGTGAGAACAGTTGTCAAATCCAGAATCGTTGAGTTTTTGAATTAAGAACCTTTGGAATCTTCAATCAAGAACGACTGGACCATTTGGTCTTTAAAGTAAGAAATCTGGGGTTTTTTGAATAAGAACCCGAAGATTTTCGAAATAGAAACTCTGGGGTTCTTAAATTTAGAACCTTTGGGAGCATTAAAACATTACGGCGCGTGATTAAAGGGAGGACGGGATTCTGTAATTTAGCGATGATTACGGAGGAGGAGAGGGATTGGCTAGAATGTGCCGCCGCAGAATAATTAAAGGAGATAAAGTTAGTTGATACGAGAGCAATTCCACGTCAAATCCGGAATGAAAGAAATATCATGTTTCCGATGGCCTTCTTTAAGAAGGAGTACATGAGACCAAGCTCTCATAAAATTTTTAGAGCGATTAGATTTTTTTCAGCAAGTTATGATTTTACAAAAAATTTCACTTTTTCCGCTTGAATTTTGATTGTTTGAGAAAAAGGTGAGATAATTGAATTTCATAATTAGGATTTGAATTTTCGGTTTCACACATTTGAAAGTAATGTATGTGCTAATGATTAAATTCAATTATTTCACCTTTTTCTCAAACAATAAAAATTCAAGCGGAAAAAGTGAAATTTTTTGAAAAATCAAAAATCGCTGAAAAGAAACTACCGTTAGCTGTAGTAATCTCTATCAAGTACAAAAAGGAATATTCATTATTTTCACCTAAAATCTATGATTCTCGAGATGATTTTATAAGCAATGGAGAGATATAGCATATGGATCCACCCCTTTTACTATGTATAGTCCAGTGGATACGTTTCGAAAAACGCGTTTGTTGGCGACTTTTCGTAAAAAGTCACCAATTTTGACAATGTTTTTTCAACTGCTCGGAATCAAATGTTAAAAAAATGTTATTTAAAGCCAAGCTGGGCTTTTGATTTTTACTATTTATTCATTACTTATTCATTACATTCATTTTATTCATTACTCACGAACGTCGAGAATACGGCCCTTGAGCAGACATGACGGTTCTGGATTTGATCAAGCCAAACTTATTCAAACCATATGACCTGTTCATCGAAATCAGTAATAATTATTAATGATAATTAATTCAAAACACAAGATAATTAATTTGTTTCACTGAAGATCGGCTCTCTTAATGAATCCCTACTGTAATTACCGCTGAAAAAACCTTATGATTTTTGACAATGCTGGGGATCGAAGCGGAAACCCTACGATTACTAACCCTCACCACTATAGACTATCGCGCTATTATTATTCAGTGGACGCTGTTTTCTGGGTATTTGTTGACTTTAAAATTATTCATAATCTCGCGGATTTGCGCATATATCTTGAAGGAGAAAATTTGTTTAGTAAAAATTGAATCCATTTCATTAATGAATAATAATTCTAATAATCATAATACTAATGAACAGATGGAAGATTGATGAATTTTTTTCTACTCAAGGTAATTTTCTTGTAAGTTTGATACTTCTACTATATATATTGTCGTCACCATCTCTCCCTCCCCCCGTCCATTTAATTAAAGCTATTTGATAAATAAATTGAGAAATGATATTAAAAATCCGATTCTCGGAATACGTTTGTTCAAATTAAGATGAAGTGGACCGGATCCGAACCTTGTCATTTTTTCTTCAATTGACCCCGTTCAAGTGAAAATCAAGTGCATCAAATCCGAATTGGATCAAATTGGGTTTCGGTAGCCTGACCTAAGAGTGAGATCGCGTCTACCTGATCAGAATTCGATCTGAGCACGGTTCCAGATTTTGGAATGCAATCTACTGGATCACAACTGGATCAGGTTCTCGTCAAACGTTACCTGATTGTGCCTACCTGACCAGAACTTAATCTGAACTCACCCGCAATTTTTTTAATTCGATCCACTGGATCCAAATTTGATCAGGTTCTCATCAGAAATCACCTGATCAGTCGAACCCTTCGAAAACTGGATCAAATTCTGATCGTACTGCATGTGCACCTGACACAATTTCCACTCGGGGTAGAGTGATTTAGAAAAATTAAAAACCAAAAACCTAGCATGGCTTTAAATTACATTTTTTTAGCATTTGATTTCGAGTAGTAAAAACAAATTATCCAAATCAATGACTTTTTACAAAAAGTTGACAAAATTCTCAATATGAAAAACTGCTAGACATTCTCTACTGAAATCTGCTCACTATTGACAAAATTTCAAATTCAACGGCCGGGAAATCTTAATGAATAAAAAAAGCAACATGCTTCTTTACATTGTACCACATTCATCTCTTTGGACGCGCAAGGGAATATCGAGGGATTTTTTTGCAGTTTATTAAATTCCGATCATAGAATGTTTTTTGATATTTTTATTTATTTTTAAAGTGATTTGCCGCAAGGGGTTTGTGACTGGCCATCGCCCGAGGGCCTTCAGCCTGTCTTTTGATATTTTCTTCTAAAGGTTGCATTATCGAAATACTGGGAAATAACTATTTACCTCATCTCCTCCCATATGAAAGATGTCGGGAGAAAAGTCCTCGATCATATCCCTATAAATTCCATCAAGAATTTCGTACACGGTCTCACTTGTGGGGTTTAATTGTCCACAGGGGGGTTCAACGCAATAGTTCTTCCAAGGATCAGCCTTGAAGCAAACTGTGGCATTGTCCCCCGCCCACTGCCACCCTTCGCCCACGTGCGCCGGGGCGTCGAACTCTGGGAGCACCCTGACCCCATGAATGAGTCCGAAATCAATGATTTCTTTGATGTCCTCTTCTGTGTAGACTTTGACGGGAGAGTATGCTCCATACCTTTGTAGATTTGGATAACTCTTGCTGGAGTAGGGGAAGCTGTGAGAGTCTGTTATGTGCCAGTGGAAAGTGTTCAATTTGGACATTCCCATGGCTTCAATCGTGCGAAGGATTGTGATTTTATCCACGAAATTACGGCTGGTGTCGAGGAGGATTCCTCGGTAGGGGTAGACAGGAGCATCAATTACGTAGACATCTCTCACCATTTGGACTTCATTACGAAAATCATTGTAGACAATCAATTGGGTGAGAGTTTCCAATGCATTGCGAGCACCAAAGTAAGTGTCCGCGAGGATCTTTGCCATCAACTGGTTAATTTAAATCAATTTGGCATGAGAATGAATCATCGAGTGAAGAGATTATTCCAGAAATTATTATCAGAAAAAACAATGTCAAATCTTCTACCTCTTGCGAGAATGAGTAACAGATTAAGTTCAAAATGCTAATCAGATCATCTTGTGATGTTCGAAAGAACCATGCTCGCCAAACATTAAAATTTATTGTTTAACATAGTAATTTTGAGGACAAATGAAAAATCACGACGCGGCGGTTGAAAAATACTGGTGACAGAATTAGAATATGATGGAGTCCATAAAAAAATTACTGTGGAACATAGTAAAAACTGCGAGTCGGTATAGTTGAAAGTGATAGCTTAGAAGGTGAGCTATCACTTCTGATTTTACTAGTGAGAAAATTTCATTTCTCACTAGTAAAGTTTATGAGAATAAGCATGATTTTTTACTTTCGTGATAAAAAAATTCCTCCTTCCCCTCTTCCAATACGAATATTCGTAGAAGAGGAGAAAGGAGAGAGTTTTTTTTCAATTTTTTTTTCAATCACAGAGAAAAAAGTTGTTTAACTTTAGATAAAAGTTGCTAGATATTAGAAACCTCATAACAATTGTCCATGGAAATGGGAGGATTTTTATTTTTTTTCAACACGTTTACGTAGGGCACTCACTCACCACCCGGTCGATTGCGTTGTCAACAGAGGAAGGGGATACCAAGAAATTTAAACGATCGACGATCCAAATACCCGCTGCAATTTTTATACTAGTCAACAGAGTAATTTCCGCTATTTCGTAGAGGGAAATGTCGGAGACGCGAGAGTATAAATCTAAATTTTAAAACGTAAAAAAAATTACGATGTAGTATAGTAAAAATTCATACGATTTCATTAATTTTTCGTTCATTCAATAGTAAAAATTCCTTTAAAGAAAAGTGTTTAACATGCTCTTAAATATCATTTTTTCGTCCGCGCATTTTATACTGTTTCTTTTATTCAAAATTACTATGTCAAATAGTAAAAAAGAAATTTCACATCTCAAAAATTCAGTTAAAATAGATAAAATTTTTCACATAGTAATTTTTCATTTTATATTCTTTCCGTGTAGCAGCGAAAATACTTACTCTTTCACTATCCGGCTGATGGATGTGTAGGGTGTAATTCTCTCTCGTATTTACTGTAATCCTTGTATCATAAGTGTTCTTTATCCCAGCGATCTCAATTCCTAAAGCCAATCCGCCACTCTTAACAAGTGCTCCTCCAATTTTCTTAACATTTCTCTTCAAAAGTTGAATGTTCCTATGAAGGAGGTGTCCAGCAGGAGATCTCTCATAGATCCCCCGCAGGCTAATCCTCTCAGGATCCAAATGAGCCACATAGTTTCCTAAAGATAGGTGACCGGTGGGTTTCGGCCAGAGTGCACCTCCTTCGCCGCAAAAAAGCTGACAGACCTCCAACGACTGTGGAGCCTCCACATCTATCGTTAACTCCTTTTTTTTGCATAAACCACCGTCACACTCATAATGCCAAGGCGAACTGATGCACAAAGTAAGTTATTGTTTTTGATTCAGTAGTTAATTTATTAAATGTATAAAGTGAAAGTTGAAAGGAATACTTTGTAACAAAAAACATTTTAATTCAAGGAATTCTGCTGTAGTAATAAAGCATTTTCACTGTAAATAATTCTGGGGCGGAGTAATAAAGTGTAGTAGATTTAACTTCATATTTCTCTTTACTGCATACTTGTCTCGATGGTGAGCGATTTCAGGAGAAAATTTCAAGCCTAGGTGTGTAGTCTGATAAACAAGCCTGTTGCTCCTTATACCAGAATTACCGACTGCGCACTCTCATGGTGTTTTGGACCTGATATGTATTTAAAAAACTGAAAACTCATGGAATTTGCCTATGAAATCACTCAACATTGTAGAAATTTGATATTTCAAAGCATGTAGTGATACCGCGAGACATTTCACGAGACATCACGAGACAATACTTTGGAAGGATTATCATTTCGGTTTCCAGTTTTTCACCATTTTTATATGTTGAAAATCAAGACGAGACAAACGGAGAAAAAAATCGAGATTTTACAATAAAAAACATGAAAAACTTGAGAGCGAGATGAGATAAATTGACTCGGAGTCATCACAAGACGAGTCGATACTGCCTATTTGGGGATGGGACATTCCATGTCAACTCAGCCACCCCGGATTTTGTTTTGTCTAGAAAAAATGATTTGATTGTCGCATTTCGAACTACTATATATAGACAATATTCCTGCCAAATTTCATTGTCTCATGATTTTTGGTTTCTGAGATAATGACTACCAAACTTTAAATTTTCAAAAATTCATAACTTTTGAATGGCGCATCCGATTCAAACAAATAAATAAAGAAAATTTTTTTTTTCGTTCATACTTTCAGGGAAAAATACTGCATAGGCGTGAAGAATCTTCTACACCTTTTTTTCGATGAATTTTTACGTTGTTATTTTTTTTCGGCTACAGGGCCGTCCGGTATTCGACTGGAATATTCTTTTTCTGATAGAGGACGTCTATATATGATGTAAAAAAAATACGCCAACATGGGAGAGACAACCAGTGCACCGGAGAAAATTTTGGTTTCCTAAATTTTCGTGTTTTTCCGCTTTCTAGGGGAGCTGCCTCGTCTCTATTAAGAAATTGATATTTCAATCCATACCTTTGATGAATATGAGTTAGGCAAGAGATTCATCACGATAGAAAAGAGAAACAATGCGTCGGGAAAAAAATTTTCTCTGAAATTTTTGAGTTTTTTCGCTATCTATGAGAGCTATCCAAAGAAGCAAACGTGTCAATCAATATTTTTTACTCATAACGATGAAAAGGAAAGCCATCATAGAAGAGACAAGCAGGACACCAGAAAAATGTGATTTCTTCGCAATTTTCTCATTTTTTCTCCTTTTCTCTTTTTTTTCTTCCTTGGAAATCTTTTTTTTACTTCTTTCACCTTTCAAGACAGTTTTCCCTTCTGCTAGATGGGAGGGACTATCAACAACATTATAAACCTCTTTCGAAAGACAAAGTACTCATCTAAAGAAGTGCGAAACATGGAAAAACAAGTTTTATTTTACTGTAACGACCTTTTTACATTTTTACAATAAGAGGCTATTATTTACCGTCTCCAACTACCACTTGCCCAATTGCACTGATTTACTATACATCTATTCATCACGATTACTGTTTTCTAAGTGCTTTCCGTTTTGTTGTTGTTGTTTGTTTTCGTTTCGGAAAAACTTCTTGATTTTCCACAGCCGAATACCGTTTCATTAACAATTGGTGTTTTTGAATGGTGTTTTGAATGGCTGGAATAGCTTTGGCACTATCAAATCTTTCTCTCAATTCAGTTTTTATATTCTCATGTTCGTCCTTGGTGAAAAAAAACATCAATTCCTTTGAAATTCTCTTTTGACATCGAAACAAAGCATCTGGCGTCAGGATGGGTTCACCATGGATGATTTGCAAGCTTCTACGTCTCGCTTCTCTTTTGAAAACACTACCCACACCGTCACAAGCTCCTTTACCGTGTGCGGTTGCATGGGCCTTTGCATCTATTCCAAAATCAGTCTTGTGATGCAAAAGATTAGCCATTTGGTAACGATTCTTGTAATGCTGTGCAGCTCCATCGGTGACATAGATGATTCTTTTCTCATTTGTTTTGTCATTATTCGCCGAACTTCCGATGATGATGATACAGTATAGCTCTCATAGAAAGTGAAAAGACGCAAAAGTTTTGAAGAAAATTTTTATCCCGACGCATTTTTTCTCTTTTCCATCGTGACGCATCTCTTTTCTAACTCATATTCATCAAAGGTATGGATTGAAATATCAATTTCTCAATAAAAACAAGGCAGTTCTCCTAGAAGGAGTAAAAACACGAACATTTAGGAAACAAAAATTTTCTCCAGTGCACTGGTTGTCTCTCCCACGACGGCGTATTTTTTTACATCATATATAGACGTCCTGTATGAGAAAAAAAATATTCCAATCGAATACCGGACGGCCCTACAGCCGAAAAAAAATAAAAACGTAAAAATTCATCGCAATTTAGGTGTAGAAGCTTCTTCACGGCTATGGAATATTTTTTTCCTGAAAGTATGAACGAAAACAAAAATTTTCTTTTTTTATTTGTTCGAATCGGATGCGCCATTCAAAAGTTATGAATTTTTGAAAATTTAAAGTTTGGTAGTCATTATCTCAGAAACAAAAAATCATGAGGCAATGAAATTTGGCAGGAATACTGTCTATATATAGTAGTTCGAAATGCGGCAATCAAATAATTTTTTCTAGACAAAAAAAAATCCGGGGTGGCTGAGTTGACATGGAATGTCCCAGATGAGAGCAACGATTTTCATGATCATTGAGATCGACATCATCTTTTCAAAATTTTGTCTCATAAAGGGTCTCGCGGTATCACTAAAAGCATATGAGAATTCGCGTTATTATGTGTTACTGTTTTCGAAATTATCCATTCTCTCTAATAACATCATGGAATGCAGTAAAAGGAGTCGTACAGAAGTGGTTGATAACACGCGATAAGTTTAAACCTTCCATACATACAGATGATCAAGTAAAAACCTCTGAAACTGTTAGATTTAGAGAAAAATTTCACGAACGACGAATTTTATCAGAAAACCTCTCTCACAAGAAATGTTCATCTCATCTACAAAAATGTCCTTTGACACTTCTGTTTAATTCGCCTAGTTTTTGAGATATTGGCTGAGTAATTTGTATGCAATTTCTGTCCCTCATTATCTATTATTTCACAACATGACTCTCACATCTTCAAATTACCTCGGAAACAAATGATTTTTAGAAAAAATGACAAAATAAATTTTTATGTTGCCAAGATTCATTGCAGAAAATCACACTTGGCATGTTTCCATGAAATCACTCGGCAGGATAATTCTATATTTAACAAAATATGAAGAAAGGACTTACGAGTGATTCTCTACAAATTGTGATTTTTCACCTCGCACATTTTTGAAAATCTGAACATATCTGTAAGGTAATTTTTTTACATTTCTATATGTCATAATGGTCCAGGAGTGTAGTCCTAGCATCACTCTACTACAACTTCAAAAGATTCAGAATAATAAAGTGTTACCGATTTTGTACTGCCACGGTGGTGACCAAACTTGACAAGTCTTCGTATTTCAATCAGGGAATTTAATTTTTAGATAATAGAACGAGTTTATTGATTTATTTGACATCTTTTGAGTATCATATCCATTTGCAGAGATCACTTTGATTTTTTTTTTCAACAAGCAATTCTGATACAGTACAGGTCTATTCAGCGGTTGTTGATGACCCACCTGGGTGTTAGTCCGAGTTTGCACCATTTAAACACCTAAAACATATTTCTCAATACCTTAGTGATGATACAACTTCATTCCCACACGTTTGTGTATATGACACAGTTTTGACAGCCACGGTTGTGACATTCTGTGTTAAAAACTAATCGCACTTCGCGCCAGCTTTGAATTTAAAGCTCTCTGAAGATGATGAATTTCAGGCAATGGAATGTTACTTTTTTAATAAAAAAAATTAGCTAAGAAATTACACGACATGTAACAATCATGAGACCACGGTAGTGTCAGAATAATTTGTGACTTATCTTTTTCATCGCTCGAGTAGTCTTTCCTCGATGTGCACATGTGTCTAGTTCATTTTTACAGAGATTAATCTCTGATTTTTACTGTTGTAAATACTGGGCCTTACCCCTTCATTACAGAATTTCGGTACGTGCGTCATGTGCAAACATTGGAAATGATGCGACCACAGTTGAATTCAAGTTTTTAAAAATGGTACTATAATTGTGGGACAAATTTTTTGATCGTCCTGATGAGCGTAAAACAGTTATTTCTCTGAAAATTGCTCATGAAAGTATACTTAGTCACACCCCCTATTATCTATGTTCAGGAAATTTTCTTTGAACTACTCATTTACTCGGTTTCATTGACAAAATCTCGAATTTCATAACAAGGACATGCCACGGCAGTGACATTTAGGCTGGTTTCAGCTATATAGAGCTAAATAAACGATCAGGGGATGACATCTATTTTATGGAAAAGGTGGAATGCCGTAGTGAAATTTGATTATTATTTCATCATTTTGAGATTGGAAAAGTTGAAGGACAAGAAAATAACAATTTGTAGATAATCACCCTTATTCTCTTTCGTGGTCTGTCTACTAAGGAATCACGATACACATTCGAAGTAAATTATTTTTCTCAATGATGTGTTCACGGATAAAACTGTCGACTGAAATATCCACAGAGTTTCCCATTTCATATACCAGTATTTGCTATATTTATTATATTCAGGCTATCTGCTTTCACCGCGGACGAAAGGAGACCTTTCTATCAACAATATGTCATCCGCATAGTAAAGGCAATTTTTACACGACCATTGTTTATATGAAAGTCTACTTCAAAGAATAAGAATTCAATTCCAATTTCACTCGAATGAAAAAAATCATTTTTTTCAACTCAGTAACGTAAGGGACTCTAATTTAAATGGGTAGTACGTTTTTTTTCACTTCCTGGAGTTGCGTAAATTGGATGAAATTCACTTACTTGAATTTCTGGCCGTTTGCAACGACGCTATTCTGCGGAAGCGCAAGGACAGCTATTAGTATGCCAACCATCCCAGTTAGAGCCATCGCTAAGGCAACTGACTGACGAACTCTGGGTCGTGGTCGCCAATACGATTTTATGTCCCCATCCAGCCTTGCCATGATCTCAGAGGAGGGGAATTAATTTTTTAAAAGTGGAGAGGGAATGCTCGTGTACACTTACTATTCAAACGTCATCATCTCTCACTTGTGTCAAATACACCTGACCAATGATGCTAATTTTTCGATTTGTATTCTTTTTTTTATAAAGGAGTGTCAATAACCACTTGATTTATTCACTATTCCAGCTCCTGTCTTTAGTCATTTAAAATTCACGAATTAATTTTTAAAAATTCACTGGACAGAATCTGATGGTTGCTCCAAGTTTCATATTTCAATCGAATGGTTAGTGTGAGAGTATTCTTTCAATATGAGCTGTCACGTCTGCTAATTTTTCAAACTGTTTCTTTGCATGATTCTAGATGCCTGCGCAAGTCAACCAAACTTACGAACTTTGTGTTGATTATGAGGAAATACTCTTCCTCACTGCCATAATCGCCCTCAATCAAATAGTCTGAGATAAGAAAGATCAATAAATTTGTCAACAGTATCAGTCAATGTGTAGAGATAATCGTCGAAAAGTTCAACGGTACTAAATGGGAACAAATTGTGGATTGCCGTAGTAGTACGTAACAACCAGGGATTTACTTGGTTGATAAAGTGTTCGTCTCTGAAACTGGGAGATTTAGGAAGAAATGTTGAGTTATATTTTTGAGAGGGCATTAGATTTTCTATTGCAAGGACCTTTCGTCAGTTAGTTTTAATCTTACACATTCCGACGGTAAATGCAAAGTGATTCTGTTATTCGTATGGAAAAATGGAGTAATGATAATTTTGTGAATATCCCTAAATCAACGGAAAAAAATATGGGAAGACCTTTTTTGTAGATGAGAAAATTTCCGACAAAAAGGTCATGTGACATTGTAATCCATGATGGCTCTTCCTCTGAATGAACCGCAAACATTATTTGGTAAAAATTTCTAAAACTAATAGATTTAGGAAAAAAAACAAAGTTAATGCAAAGTTTAATTGATGATTGACCAAACAATTGATTATTGAAATGTGTTCACTGCTGACAAAATGACAAAAAAAGACTTATTACATATTATCACTGTGATGCAGATTGGCAAATAAGAAAAGTTATTCAGATATAAATTTTACGTAAAAGAGTTCATTCAGATGCTCATTTCCCGTGGGTCCATGTCCAAATGATTACATTTGATAGAAAATTTATTGTATTATCTTACACAATTTTCTGAACTATTCGTAAATCATTATAAATACAGGTAGAGTTATGCTTATTGTACCGCAACATAGTTCTGACAAAAACAGATGTACATAATTTATTCGTCTCCACGAATCTGTCGATATTTGGCTAATTCGTTGGGGAAGACACGATTGAGCTCGACGAGCATGTTGGCCTTGAATTTTCTGTATGCATCGATCTTTCCTTTGACCTGCTCGTTTTTCGTCAGTGCTTTCTCGATGCAGTCCTTTGTGTAAAGCTGGGGATTTCTGCCTTGGTCGATGTAACTAAAAATATCAGTCGTATGGTAATCATACAGGTCGAACCGGTCTAACATTTTTGGTTCCTTTGTTTTTTTTATCGTTCCGCGGATATCGCTGGAACAAGCGAGTTTAGGGAACAATGACGGCTGATTTTTTCTTGTAGAGTATGCGCCTTCTACAAAAAATCATTTATGACCCTCAGCCCTAAAAACACTTGTCTCTGAGGTGGCGATGCAAATTTTGGAGTAAAGTTGAAAGGGGATGAGTTCAAGCATTTTGTCACAATTATTTCGTGAATATCTTCGGAATAAGATGGTGGAGATATGAACGCTAGAAGATTATGGAATTGTCTACACGAAAGCTCTCTGGATGATTTACCTATGTAGTATCCACTACGGGAGAAATTTAACGGTAGATATTTTCACGCTATACGGAACGATAAACAGTGGTGAAATATTATGATTTATTGTTTCCCTTAGAATTTCGAACGATTTCAAATAATAGAATCATTGACTTCTAAGCTCGGACGGGCGAATCTACAGTGAGAGAAAAATCGACATAATATCACAAAAATCATTTCTTGAGCGAAAAACGTCGCATTCATATTTAATCAATTTATGGTAGATTCCAGACAAGAAATCAGTGCTCTTCGATTTAAGGAAGTTACTGAATGATAAGATGTCTTTTTTCGCAATGAGATAATATTCCTTAAAAGACAAGAGAAGTTTGGCATAAGGAAATGAAGATATTGTTTTCCTTCGAACTCAAAGCGATTGAGCGTAAGCGTCGAGTATGTTTTTAATATCTGGAGGTTTTCCTCTGCATAAACTCTCTATTCATTCAATATGAAAATCTCTGATTCATGATGCACTGAAGCGTAGCTTTTAGTATTTTTTGTCACTTTCTCATCTTCTGACACGAAAAAATCGATTTCTTGTGGCAAGAAATTCTCACTTTATCATGAAATGTTCATGTTCAAGTCATGAACTCTTCACTGAAATCTGATATTGTCTGACACATTACCCGGAATTCTTGTCCCAAGAAATTTATTCTTAAGGGATGAGATATTTGGCGCAAAAAATTGATTTTGTGATATTATGACGATATTTCTCTCAGTGTAGAGGGTATTATTTCGGATATTTCCCACTGCCATTGGTAAGTGACTAAACATTCGCAGACAATTCTTTTGGCCGAAATTATAAGAAAATAAGTCATTCTCCAAAAACCCCTTGAGCTTCAAAATGAATCAGGTATCCCTCAATCTTCTGTGCAAACAAAAAATTGAGTAGAGTTTTTTCAGGAAAATCTCTCCTGCAAGCGCTCGAAATTTTGAACCCTTAAAAATTTGGACCTCTCATTTTTTGCTGCTATCGTGTACGAAGCTATCGGGAAATGTCTGATCATTTTGAAGCTCTTGAGGTATTACTATTGAATATCGTCAATAGCAAGATAATCCCTTCAAATGGTTCGAATTTCACAGTCGAACTCCTGTCTTGCCTCTAATTATTCATTTTTTTCATTTGCGCCCCAAGATAAAGTCTTCATTAAGGATATTCAAGTATCTTTTACAGTTTGATACTACAGACCGCGCTATACATTAAAATTGGAAATTTCTGAATTGTAAAATTCTGAATATGAATAAATTTGTTACGATTTAGAACAAATGGTTTTTATGGTGAAAAATTGATTGTTTATAAATTATTTATAGAAAATGCTCATCATTTTCAAAATATGCAATTTTAAAATTATTTCATTGATCTCCCTTCAAAAGTAAACTTTCTAATTTCTTTTTCAGATTTTTAAAATGTTTTCTAACAGTTCAATATTGAGATTCAAATTTAGATCTGCAAAGTTTAAATAATAAAATCATTGTAAAATCTGCGAAAACAGGGTAAAATGGGGCTTAGAAGAGGGTGGGGCAATTCGGACACGTAGGGTAAAATGGACCCTCAAAAAATTTGCAAAAAAAATGTTTTTTCAAAATTCAAAATTTGGAAAATTGTTTCATTGGGCAATATGGATACTTGATAAATCCGTATAGGATGGACTAAATGGACGCTCAAACATTTTATTTTCAATAATCGAATTGAAAATTATTCAAGAGTAGGATAAAATGGACACCCGAAAAAGTTGGTTCTAAGCAACTTTTAAGCATAAAAATTTCCAACAGAATCGTGTCGGTATCTTTTTATAGAAATATTAACAAATAAACTTCAACTCTATTCAAATTTTACATTAAAGTTTGAAATATAGAGTCGCTTTGGATTTCCTGTTTTACGATTGAAATAACTTTTTCGTGTCACGGGACCTGAAAATTAATATATACACCTCGCGATGGAAAACATATCACCGTCCCCCACGTGCTTGCCATCCTCGCCTTCGGCTCGGAAGGCAATCTTGCACGTGGGGGACGGTGATCTGTTTTCCAAGGCTCGGGCATGTAATGTACTATTTCGTGTCGTGGGACCTGAAAAACCCTATTTTCGTGGCGCTGCGCGCGGACGGCAGTCTTGCACGTGGGGGAGGATGATCTGTTTTCCAAGGCTCGGGCATGTAATGTACTATTTCGTGTCGTGGGACCTGAAAAACCCTATTTTCGTGGCGCTGCGCGCGGACGGCAGTCTTGCACGTGGGGGAGGATGATCTGTTTTCCAAGGCTCGGGCATGAAATGTACTATGTAATTATTGATTTTTTTCAATGAACAATTGCGCGCCCTATACAACTGACCTTTTGTCAATTTGCGAAATTTGTAAGATGGCTACTTTTCTACTTACAAAGGAATTCACCATAAAACAATGGGGGAGGAGAGGATCAACGAACAAAGAAAAATTTGGTGTACCACCCCCCACGACAAGTAAAAAATGAGTTTGTTTTTCAATTAAAAAATTGCACTCATGACTAGTGTTACGGAAATTGAATAATATTGTTGAAACATAGAAAATTGAGTAAGAAATGGAAGTGTCCAGTTTATCCTGTTTTTGCTTTGCCTTACAACTCCTACGACGCAGTCTTATGACAATGTGTTTGTTTTTATAACCTTCAAGTGAAGTCGGAACAATAGATTTCATCCAATTCAACTCATTATTTAAATCTGGTGTCCATATTGCCCCACCCTCCCCTAAATGAAAGCGCTGATGTTCGACTACAAAAGTAGAAAAGCATAGCGAAAGTACTTGAATATCCTTAATCACACAAACAAAAGACGAATATTTTATAAATTTTAACACACTCTAAAAAAATGAAAGATTTAAAGCACTTCCTCCTTAAGATATTCCGTCTTAGATACATTCATTGAGTAAGAAACTTGTTGCACTCACTCGAAGACTTCCAAGGGCACATGAACATCCTGAACCTGAGATTTGAGCTTATCAATTTCCTGAAGTCCAGTTACGAGGGCTTGACTGCAACAAAAAATCAAATTTCCCGGCTTACCACCACAATACAAAGTTCAGCGCCCCCTATTGACAGTGAACTGATTTACCACAGAGTATCAGAGCAGTATGTCAGATTGACCCCCTAGTCGTCAATCAATTCATCGTTTCCGTAATTGAGACAAATGTTCAACCATTCTATTACTCACATTTTGCTGTTGAGAACTGTCTGTCCTTGTGGCTGAACATCACTGACGATAATGCGAATTCTTCTGACATTTTCGATGAAATTCTCGAGCTGATTCTCTAGGTTCTCTAACGCTGACGACATCTTGAATGTTTATGACCCCCTGGCGCCCTCAGCGCACATGAATATCTCCAGAACTACGAGAGATTCCCACGGTAAATAAAGATAGAAAGCTGTAGAAATGTTTGGGTAGATTGTATTACGTCGTTCGTTGCGGTTCATTTGACGTTTCGAAAGGCAATGGCTCTAAAACAGGTGATCATAGGTAAATAAAGTGGATTTTCAGACTGAATCTAATGAGGCGAGATGTTTTATTTAACCAGATATTAATGTATTCTTTCTGTTATATAATTATTCGTTATGCAGGCGGTGGAACCGGCTACATAGGCTCTGCACTTGCATTTGCGTTGAGAGCTGAAGGAGCAAGTGTTAGTATTATCTCCCGAAAAGCTAACGGACCTAATCAAATTTCTTGGGTAAATATAACTCATTTTGTGTTATCCATTTTATCGTAAAATAAGTAATTATTACAATAAATTGAATTTTCATCAGATAAGATGAGCCGAATTGAGGCAAGATCAGAAATTACTCATACGTTAATTTGCAGATATCTTCGGAGTGAGGGTATATAACGGAATTTATCAGAAGAGCTTTATTGTAGAGAATTCGAAGGGCTACAAAAAAGGTCTGATGACCAGTTCTTGTCAACTTCTTTATTCCGACGATATCCGCAAGATAAAGCCTCGAAATTTTCGCACTTACGACTTTACGACGGAGGAGCGATTTTAGCTTCCGAATGGAAGTTTTGTAGGGTAAACAGGTCAATTTCTGGATGGCACGGATGAAAAAATGAGTAGAAAAACCTAGTGAATTCGTTAGGAAATTCTATTTTATTTATATTGAACTTTCTATTAGTTTTCGGCCGATTCTATTGAAATGTTCAATAGAACATATTCAATAGAAAAATTTGATAGAATTCAATTTTTCTTTATAACTTATTCTATTGAGATATTTTCTATAGAATTTCTCTGGCTCAAATTTTCTAAGTTTTTTTTGGGTTCATTTTCTTGATAACAAGAAAAGAAAAATGGATTGAAAAAAACTTAGAAAACAGTGTAATACGCGTAAAACTTGGAATAAACATCTGAGATTCTGGCTACTAATTACTATTATTGAGTCAGACTTGTGTATAAAATGTTGTGTCGATCGATTCAATGCACCCTGGTATAGAGTACTTCATCCCAAAAACTTTTTTTCTAAAAAGTCACACATTGTCGTTTTATTGATTATTTTGGCCTCTGGGGTTTATTCTCGACTTGTTTTTTTTTTAATCGAAAGGGAAGACATTTTCCGTCGGATATTACAAGTGCTAAAAAAAGGCCTCATGATATTCTTCTTCCAAACCACTAATTTACTGCTTCACTGAATATCCGCAAAATCGATTTCAAATCATCATACATTTCAGGAGGACGTGAAAAAAAACGGACTTCCAAAGGATACAACAGCAGTGATAAACGTCGCAGGTCAAAACATCTTGGATCCCACCAAAAGATGGAACAAAGAGTTCAAGAAAGAAGTCAGGGACAGTCGAGTAAATACTACCAGGGCCCTAGCAGAAGCAGTGAAGAATTCTGGAACTGAGGTCTTTACAACAGTTTCTGGAGTGGCTTACTACAAACCTAATGACAAAGAATGGACGGAGGATGACAAGTGTGAAAAGTATGATTACCTTTCAGGTAAAATTAAGGAAACATCGATCTAATCAGTAGTCAAGTGACAAAACGAAATGAGACAACTCAACTTCAAAACCAATATTTGATGAATATACCTGAACGAGATAACACAATTTTCATGAGACAAAAAAAACATTTCCTTCGCAATGGAAACAAAGTAGGAATTATAGAAATGATTCTCATGAAACTTCAGTTATTTTCAAATTGCAGGAAGAATTTCACGTATTAAAAAAATCAGTAGAAAAAGCTGGTGCATTCACTAGAAAAATTGATTAGTCTTTTGTCGATTCTATAAAGGAAACTTTGCAGCTTTTCCATGCATTTTTTAATAGAAAAGTTTTCAATCAAAAATATTGTGTAGAGAGAATCAATGGATTTCGATCTTTCCATGCCACTTGATCTGTCAAGATTGTTTCTATAGAAATTTCTCGAGTTGAATTTTTGGTCCTATTTTGCTTGAAGTTTTTAATAAAAAGAGAACAAAAATAGTGAAAAGACTTGTAAAATTCATGCTTAATAGACATTAGTAGAAGTCCAATAGAATTTCCTATCGAATCGGTTTTTCCATTAAATTTGTACGTACGCGTTGACGTGTCTCGTTTCAACAGTTCACTGTTGAAGTGTGGATGCAAGTGTGAAAATCTGTTGACGTATAAATGATTGCTTGATAGAACTCTGCCATGAGTGGGAGGCAGCTGCAGACCTACCAACAGATAGCAAATGCAGAAGTGTGACAGTTCGTTCTGGAGTAGTTTTGGGAAGAACTGGAGGAATGATCCAACAAGCTTTTATTCCTTTTGTCCTCGGTCTCGGTGGACCTATAGGAAAAGGGAGTCAACCAATGCCTTGGATACACATTGCAGACTTGGTGAATTTGTTCAAATTCTCTTTGAAAGAGAATAAAGTTTGTGGGATTTTGAACGGAGTTGCACCCGACGTAAAACAATTCACATTTTCATTTCTTAGAGTGTCATTAATATGAGAAATTGATTAATTTTTTCTTGTGATGCAGATTATTACGAACAAGGAATTTACTGCAGAATTTGCAAAAGCTCTGAGGAGGCCAGCAATAATTCCCCTCCCGGAATTCGTGGTTAATTTAATTTTTAATGAAGAACGAGCAAAGGTAAATTTTAATAGGGAAGTGGTTGACGTTGATGCAAATCTTTTTAATGATTGATTTTTCAACTATCTCAGTGATCGTTGATAAGGAGAAAATGTCTCGAGAAATTTCATATTAAATATTAATTTTCAGATATTCTGTGTAGACCCTTTCATTTTTTTGTAATGAACGTGTTAAAATCTCAATGAAAAGAGCAATTATCAATTATTCAATTTCCTCTAAACTTTCATCGAAGAATAGATTATGTCGTAAATAGCCACACAATTATCAAATTTTATACTGGATTCGAGTGATTCGTCTACTTTTCCCTTCGATTGTAAAATCCCCTTCGAGAATTAAAAAAATATATAATTCATTTTTCAGATTGTTCTTGAAGGACAGAAAGTGAATCCAAAACGAGTATTGGAATATGGATTTGAGTACAAATACCCAACAATCACCGAAGCGTGTAAACAATTTTCTGTTCTCTCCCCAAAAAGTGTATATTAAATATATATATATAAATAAAACTGATTCTGGTTCAGTAAAATGAAAAATTGTTTCTGCTCCACTGCTAATATCCTCGTGTTTTATTCCGAAAGTATTTTCGGAGTGAAGAGGATTATGGGAAATTATTGAGACTTTTCTTGAGGATTTTGAATCGGTCTAAAAGAAAGGTCTTCTTAATAATTCTGCTAAAATTCTTTACTCCGAAAATACTCACAAAATAATGTATAGAAACTGTACATCCCAAAATTTCTTAAATTATTATGAATTTGGTATGAAAGGTAATTTTTAATTATTAAGAAACTTGAGACACTGATTTTATTCACTTGACCGTTTGTTTATATTTCATATAGAATATTAGAATATTTATATCACTTTTTTATCTTACATTGTCAATTGTCACTTGGTTATTGATGGAACAAAAAAAACACAGATGATTCGCGAAAAATAAAACATTGTCTATTCGATTAATCTTATAAAACACTAACTGATTTTATTTATATGTTATCTACTAACAATTGTCTAAAAATAAAATAAAATATTATTGATTTTATTAGAACGCTAACACAAAATAACTTGTCTTAAAATTTTTTAAGTCGGAGTGTTGTTCGATGTCGCGGTTGCTTCGTAACTGACTTCTTTTAGCTAAGATTTTCATAGCTGAGCAGAAATTTTTTGTTTTCGGTGTAAGTTGAAAAGAGAGAATTATCGAAAAATGTGTGTCAGAGAAGGAGAAAATAAGAAAATGGAGTAAAATGTAAGAGAAGGGGTACTTCACAGTGACTACGAAGGCCCATGGGTCTGTACAGTTTTCGAACATGTGTTTGTCGTAAAATTTGACAAGAGGTCTGAAGGACCTGACTATAACGAAGTAAACTGGTATTTTTCTAGTCGAATTGAATAGAGTCTTTGTGAAAAAGATAATATATTTCGAATCGTTGTGAGTTTACTTTTCGTTTCAGTTTTAAGAATTTTACGTAATAAAATCAAATGGTTATTTATGCAGAAAAATAAAATATTCTTTCAAGAGTTTACATTCAATCGACGTATAATATAATAGAAAATAATCATGAATAATTAAATTTCATATGAAAAGTAAAATGACTGCACTGCAACAGAAAACTAATTCATGTCTTACCATTCCAAGTATATTCGGAGTGAAGAGGTTTAAAAAAATTCTAAAGAGACATTTTTGTAGAAAATATTCAGAACTACAAAGAAGGTTTTCTGATGAAATCTTGCAAACCCTTTTCTCCCCAAGACAATTGTGCAAAATCCCCTACAAATTTTTGATTCATCTCTCTCACCTCCAAATATCTCTGAAGTGAAGAGGATTACGAGAATTTAGCGGAAGCCCTTGCGTTCAGCCCTGGAAATTCCCAACAAAAATTCCTTTCTGAAGAATTTCCCTGATCCCCTTCCCTCCCGAGATAATTACTCTAAAGCAATCATAAATTTGCAAATCACCAACTGCAAAGATGGAACGAACTCAAGCGTTAGATGTCATACCAATCGCGCTCCCGTTTTTTCCACTCTTCCATCAACTCTATCCGCTACGATCCCAGCATGAAAATGGTGCGTGAATGTTCGCGCACAGCTGTTGTTTACCGACAAATGCGTGTCAAAGAAACTGTTCTGGATTGGCGGGTTCAAAGATTTCCCAGTACGAATGATTCCATCGACATCGTGAAACGAAGTGCGAGTAAAGTACCAAACACAGTCGATTGTCCCTCTCGACACTCAAACATGAATAAAAGATGAAAAAACCGCTGGGAGAATTTATAATGGTGTCATCTTCATGAAATTCAACACAAACGTAACTAAAAACAGTGTTGAGATTGATTGGTCAAGCAAGGCTAGGAGAAAAAAAATAAACACGAGCAATCGATGGCTGGGAGAAAATGATTGAAAACGTGCCCGTTATGAGTGACCAGGGAAATTGACCTAAACTCGAGTTTCTCACTTGTTGAGAGAAGGCTAACACATGATACGTTGGCTCGTCGCACTTATTCAGGAACAATCCAAGGGACACTGAGGTAAGATGCCTGAAAATTAACGGAATCATTCAATTACTGCAACGTCATTAGCTCAGTAAACCTCAAACAAAAAATTCCAGGAAAAACTGCCGTCGATTTTTCTCGTTATTGTTTGTTATGTAAATAATGAGATTGGTGGACTAGTTTTGTTTTAGTCTGGGTTTGTTTTCATTATCACATGTTTGTGTATTTTCGTGAGGGCCTGGTGGCCTTCGATTTACGAGACTTTAATTGAGGATGGGAAATATACCTGACTCCAAAATTCATCAAAGCTTTGGAAGTGACGTCATTAACGTTGAGACGGGACAGAACTTGTGTGCATGGATATGTTATTTTTACAATGAGTAAGCTCCTTAGAGTTCATGTTTTGGTTAATTTGTTTGGGATTTTGAGGTTAGGAGTTGGGGTTCAAGCATTTTCAGACTGAGGGTTGAAAAAAAACCAGGGTCAACTTGGCGGATATTTGATAGGGATGATTTCATCTACTTTTCAAAATTTTATGCGATAAAATTTGGAGAAAAATGGGGCGAAGAATTGCGCCCAAAATTAAAGAGTGATTGTTTGGGTAATATCTCCGGAGTGAGTCGGTTTAGAGAAAAGTGTACAGCAACCTTTTTTGTTCGGAATTTTGTCAACAGCAAGAAACGTCTTTTGATATTTTCTGGTAATATCATTTTTTCTTGAGATAACGGTAATTCAGTTATTTTGGAGCAAAGTGATAATGAATTGGAGTATTTTATACAAATGTAGGTGTTGGCATCTCCTGAGCCTTTCAGTAGAAAATACTGTGGACTACAAAACAGCTCTCAACTTTTTTTGTTAAAGAATTATTCGGGCTTGGAATAAATATAAATTAAATATTTGGGAGTGCAATGGAACAGAGATGAATTGATAATTTTTGTAGAGATTTATTTGTCCATATCTCAGAGAAAAATTATTTAAGAAAAATGTTCAAAGATTTGTGTTCTAATCCTTCATATTTTCAACACGAAAGATGTCTTACTAAGTTTTCCTCGCACCACTCACTATCGACATGCTATAATTTACTAATCAATGGAATCTTTGTCTGGTTAACTAACTAGAACGAATCTCTCTCAATCAGCTCATTGACTACGGAATGAACAGTTTAGTATTGAAATTTCAGCAAACCTCTTTCCCAGTACCCAAAGTTAAAAACAAACTCTGACGAATTCAGTATAGAGCGGATAAAACCGAATGATTTCATTCCACTCCGAGTCAAGTTTTCGATGGATGTCTGTGAATGTACTGAAAATGCAGGAATTCTCATGAGAACTTTTGCTGTCGCTCTCACTTATTTCCACTAAAGAATTTTTCATATAAATTTTACATTCTTCAACTCCAGAAGGAGTTGAAGAAGTTGAAGAATGCAGAAGAATGCTTCTTGAAAGATTGCCTATGAAACAGACTGATCTCATATTGTTTGAGGATATTACTGTGCTCCACAAATCAAAATTCGATGACATCTTGAGTTTTTGCTTGTCAGTGTTGACTAAATTTTTTTAACACGACCTCAGGGGCATCACAATCCCTCCTATCGCATTAGAAAATCTGAAGTGATTGATAAGAACAATTTCTAATCCATTGAATAAAAAAATTTTACACAAGATTTTTTTCAAATTTCGAACCCATCATCGTCATAGAGCCAAAAGGGTGTAAAGGGTGGATATAAGCATACACTGTTGGGAATTTTTTGAAATTTCATAGAAGTAAATCTCATGAGAGTGACATTGAATCTGATTTAGGGCAAAAATGATTATGAAATTTCAAGTTTTAAGTAGAATTCATGGAAATTCATGAGTTTTCAGAGGGAGTGAGATGGAAATTTCACAACTTGATTGAATTTTTAGTGCAACATGAATATTCAGAAATAAAATGACATGAATTTTCAATTTTTCCCCAAATTTTCCTGATTTTGCTGAATTTTTACAGAATAATTGAACTGGAAAATCAAGTATTTTATTAATTTCCAGATCGTTTGAACAGAAAATCAATGAAATATTTGATTTTTCAATGACAAGATTTCTTGAAATTTCAGTGGAACTTGAACACGATAAAAATTTCCGGAATTTGGCACGGAAAATTCAGACGAAAATTTTTGACAGTGTATTTTTACGTGGTTTCGGGTTTACGGTGAAGACACTGAGAGAAAAAATTAATTTTGCGCAAAAATTATATGTTCTACTGAAGAGATCTTTTGTCATATTGAATCAATTCACTTGTGGACAAAAAAGAAAGTTCCTACCAAAACATGATTTTCGTACTAGTAATTGCTCTCGCGAGACATAGGTATTTCCAGTAAATGCATTTATTCTGCAGAGAATTATATAAGGCTCCGGTTTTATCAAGTGAATGTTATTGAGTAGAGTATATCTTTGTCCAATAAACACTTATAATTTCCATGGAACAAATGATAATTTCAAGAGGAAACTACAATCTTCTTGCCAAAAACTGTGTTATTAGCAAAACTAAATAATTTTGAGGGGAGAATTTTTTTTTAAATATTCGTTTCACGTCAATATATGCCTTCTGTTGTATAAACCTATGGAGTTCTCTTAGATCAAATGATTGTCGTACAATAGATTGTATTTTTTCTTGCCAACAGTTCAAATTCTCCTAGTGATATTTCTGATGATCCGAGAAAAATTTAATTTTTATGAAAGATGTTAAATTTCAGTTTATCAAGCTGGTTAATTTCCCTCAAGTAAGTTTGTTCCACCCCATCGAATATTCTCACGTGGAACAGATAGCTTTTCGGCAGAGCTATTTTTTGCTCTCAGTAGATTTATATGACATTAAAAAATATTAGTTTACAAAGTTTCAAGCTCTTTTCTGTTTTTTTGGGAAAACCGGATTTTTCAACAATAGCCCATTTGAATGTAAAAAATTCAAGCTTTTATTTTTTTCCGAATTTTCTTTGCATTTTTGGCACTCCGCCATGATATCCTTGACTACTTTATTACTGAATTTCCCCTCTTTTTTCTTCGAAAAACATTTCCAAGACATTCTTGGAATCCATTCCGAGTATATGTATTGTGACTCCTTCATTATATGAACAACAATAATGAACAAGCAGCTGACAGTGAGCATCTGACTGGAGATTTTTGCTTATGATTTATCATTTATGTTTATGTGTTATCGTGTTTTTTTCATCAATAAATTGATGGCAGGCTCCCGAATAATTCCATTTTAGAAATTCAACTGTTCTTATGAGTTACATGATATCGGTAGTTTTCAAGATATTGAATGACATACATTTACATACAAAGTTGAATATCTTCTAAACTAACCATCCGAATTAACTCCTTTTCAATACGAACCGTTGCAATGATAAATAGAAATTTCATGTCAAATTTCAAGTTGATGTGTCGATTTTTTCGAAAGTTAGAGTGCGTTAATTGATCACCGAGTGAATACTCGTACATACACACGGCCATTATGGGTCCATGTCGAAAAAAACTTCCGTTAAAAAGGCTTGGTCAAAAAACTTGAGGACAAAAAAAATCGAACAACCTGAACTTCAAAAAAATTGAAAAAAACTTGTAAACTCTTAACGTATAAAGAAAATTCACAAAAATGAAATAAGTCCATACACATACATACATACATACAGACACCTTCTAAAAATCGCATATTCGGACTTTTTGGACCATATTTAGTTGCCCTGACACAAAAATTTGGAAACTTAAATTTGAGCGATTACACAGCTTCCATTCGAACCGCAATGCAAAACATCGCATCCAGAATAAACAGCATCAAGTCTTGATTACAAATGGTTTCACACAAATTCATATGCACGAGGAAAATAAATAACACAACTACACTCTCAAATTCCAAACACAAACATAGATTTCACCTATATTCTTACAAATATTCTTATGAAAGATCAGATAACCGAAAGATTTTGTTGACGGAAGTTCAATTTGACAAACGTTCAATTAACCAAAAGTCACTTTCCCAAGTGGAATATAACCAGATTTTTTTAACGAAGTTTTTTTGACGAAGTTTAGACGTGCTTCGGCCATTATACTTAGTATTTTTACGTTTCAAACAATTCTACACCATTTCCAAGGCAAATTAGAAAAATATCCATATTTATGAACAACGATGTTGATCTACTTGTAATTTTATCTTCAGGTGACCACAATGAACGCAAGAACTCAGCTGTTCGAGCTCAGCATGGAGGGTCGTCAGGTAGACGAGGCAGTAGCCTCGATATTCCACAGTGTCCTTTTCCACCGGAGCTTAGGAAAATTCAAGTACAAACAAGAGGGCAGTTACTCAGTGGGAACAGTGGGCTATCAAGACGTCGACTGTGATTTCATTGACTTCACTTACGTCTGCTGTTCCTCGATTCACCTTGATCAGACCCTGAAACGAGAAATCTCTGGATTTTCCGAGGCATTGCGATCTACAGACAGTCCAGGTTCAGGTCAAATATCCCTGGAGTTTTTCCAAAAGAAGAAAAATCGTTGGCCCTTCCAACCTGAGTGCATACCCTGGGAAGTATGGACAGTACGTCTAGAATTAATAAAACTAGCAACTGAACACGAACGACAGATTTGCAGGGAGAAAGTTGGGGATTTATTAACTGACAAAATTCTGTACATAACTGAAGTAATGAATCGTCACGATTATCTCCCAAAAATGCCCAATCAGGCTGAGCTGGATCTTATCTTCGACACATCTTACCCAGATATTCAGCCTTATCTATTCAAACTGTCATTCACCACATCAGGACCACCGAGCACAACCATGGGGAACACTATGAAGAAACTAATTAAAGAAACTCTGTCCATTTAGTCGAGCATTCATCTCAGTTTAATTGGAATTTAGTAGTGAAGTGGTAAATAATGGGAGATGAGTTTGAAATAAATCTACAGTTTATTCTGAGAGATATTTCTGGAAGGCAGGATTTGAGAGTATTCAACGAAGGACTTTCCGTGGAGAAATTGGTGAACTTTAAAAAAGTTCTCTTGACATTGTAGGAGTAAAGTGGTATAATGAACTAAGTCAATTTCCCTTGAGCATCAATTTTTAACGGACATTTCGCAATCCAGGGAATAGCAAGATGTTCTTAAGGACTTTGTAGAGAGTAATAAGGGATTAAAAAAATCTCTACAAAATTAACTGAAAGATTAGGGAAATTCCCAGGAATGATAATAACGTTCTATAAATTGTCAAGGATGCAGAGTGCAGTATCCGGGGTCACGTCACATGTTTCACACTGATAATTTCCCTGTCCACAAGGAAATTATCAGACTGATAATCGCGGGAAAGGCTTCCTGTTGCCTATCAATTGTTTCCAACGATTTTGACAGATATTCTCCATATCGTTAGCTTCATAACAAAGTAACATAAGTGCCAAAATACGAAAATTTTCCCAAAGTGAGAAACGAGAAGTAACTATATGGAAACAAGTTTAAAATTCTAAACTTTTTGACTGAGGACATTTTTTGGCACTTACGGTACTCTGTTATAAAGCTAACCATATTTTGGTGAAATGTCTCACGTAACCCCGAACACCACACTCTGATCGCCGAAATCAGAATTGAAGAAATTATTTTCCAAATATTCCTCGACCTTCAAAATTCATCGGATATTTTCCGCAAGTTTTACTGCACATCGAGGATTGCGCTGCGCGCTCGGGATTTTTATGTGCAAAACTTGCCCCTCTTGTTGCTATGCAACAAAACTTACGGGAAATACCCGATAATTTTAATAGCTAATTTTTTCATATTTGTTATCACTTTTTACAAAAAACTTCTCAAGAATAGTGAAATTGAATATTGGTTATGACATCCTTGACAATGTAATCAATGTTTTTATCATTTTTTCCAACATCTGCAGATTTTCAACGAAAATTGACAATATGGAATTGAATAGTATCATTAATCTTTGTAAAAATTTTGCCATCTCTCTCATATTTGGAGATATTTCTCGAAAACTCTACTAGGAGTAAATTTAACTAAGTAGTTTTATCATTTTACTCCTAGTTTTTATTTGACCCTGTTAGCCTTGACGATAATCGCAAACTTATTTCCATTAAACATATTGATGAACGGTCGAACATAGGATATAAGTCCAAAACGCACTGGTAGGTTATTTGACAAATATCTTTGAAAGAGAGGCGTTTCGATGAGTTGATCAAGGACTTTTTTATTGTCGAGATTTTTTTTCTTAAATAAGTTAGGTCTCTTGATTTTTTTTGTAAAATTGATTATGTGGTAGACAATCACCTTTAAGTTGAAACAATTAAGTTGAAATATTCTGAAATTTGTGAATAATTGAATTGTTAATTATTGAATTATTTAGGAAATGAGTGACTCTATGAGGTATTATCAAAGGACATCTTTTATACATGGCGACGAGAATACCAGCAAATTCATAGTTCTTATACTCTAAACTGAGCTCATATGGTTTTAGCGGGCGAAGTTTATTGTGAAGAATAGGAAAAATTACTGTTCTTCCAGGATTTTTTCTTTAAAAATAAATTTAAATTCAGAATTTAATATTCATTTAAATTTTCCGGGCAGCACGATAATTTGTTATCATTCTGGCGCCAGATTTTCGCCGGAGCTGGGAGACTGAGTTCCCTTTACACTACGGCACTATCATTTTTGATTTTCATAAAGAAAAATTATTGTTTTTTTTTACAACGAAAGGAATAGCCCGAGCTAGGAAAGAATTCGTTTGATATTTGTCTCAAAACTCAATACGTTGCAAAAGTTGAAAAATAAGTGACATGAAATTCATCTCTCTTCATCACTTCATTACAGAAAGAGATATAACGCTAAGAAAATTGTAAGGTTTTAACGATAAAACCCCTCGATCTCACCTTGGAGTGTTGCGTATAATCTCGATAAACTTTTCATCAAACATTCACGTGTGAAGACGTAGGAGTCCTAAACTACTGGATAAGATCAACTGATTAGTACAAATCGTAATGAAAACTGTTCCCTCTCTAATCACTGCATAATATTGAACAGAATGCCAACAAAATAATGACAAATTTTAATCCAAAAACTGAAATTTATATGAATTATCGTGGTAATAGAAAAGTGACATAAGTCACTCGCTGCCTAAGACACTTCAAACATCAACGCGCAGTAAAGTGTACGTCTAGCTGTATAAAAATTTTAACGAGTTATCCACCATTTTTTATTGCTTCTCTCTCCATCGTCATTTTTTTTCTCCTTAGTATCTATCTGTAGAAGGTGCATTCGCCTTGGTCGAGCTCTTGCAAGTGTAGAATTAGGTCAATAGCATCGGCTTTGTTTATCCACTCGCGAGGGGAAGGCGGAGAGGGGAGAGTTTCAACTATAAGCGAAAAAGTTTTTGAGTGTAAAGTCAAACTATTGAGATGTAAGGGAAGTGGAAAAATATAGGGGAAGACGGAAAGTCAGAAGTAAGAATGGGAATGCTTCAGCATTCCTGTTTGTATATAGATGTCAAAGATGTACACATAAAGAAAGATATATAGATATATACATACATATACATAATGATTTTCGTTGTCAAGTGGTAGTACGAGATAGGTCTAATCTTCCGTTTATTCTGCCGACATCTTAGGAGATGAGAATGAGCAGGACTTTTCGTAAGACATTTCCCGTTCAGAAAAAAAATCCGTTTGACCTTTAGTGCTAAGACCAGCCATTTTGTAGATAATCAAGTAATTATATCACTATTGGATTCTTCTATTAAAAGTGATCATAAAACGTGTTTTAAAGGACGAAAAGTCTTTTGGTTCAACAGATATTTGCATAATAATGAAGTTTCCGAATGAAAAAGTTTGCGACTTTTCGGAATTATCTCTATTTTCACTTGACTCCGTATTTTCAAGGCAGCGCACGTGTGTGATAGACCCTGTGGAATGTAATTTGCATACAGAGTAGCAACCGAAACCGTTAAATAAGTAGAATAGAGTCAGTGCTAAACGAAAAACTATTTCCTGAATAATTTTCCTCATCAACTATCATCACAATTAATTAATAGGTGCACGTATTATATTTATTTTCTCATTTAATATGAAGTGATCTTTATTTAGAAAAATTGTTGTATTTTATCTTTTTTAATTTTGATTAGCACTCGTCAGACTGATGATGTAAATAATGTTTTTTGCGTAATGAAAAAAAAGGGTGGATATGATGAATCAACGAGCAATTTTAACTTAACTCTCGATTGCACAGAGATACGCAATTATAGTCCATTGTTCTATTATAAGGAATCGAAGATTATGAATATTTCTAATTGACGGAGAATCAAAGCATTATAAATATTATTATAAATAAACGAGTGTGAATGAATTTTTTCGGCGGGATAGTGCTTTTACAATATTGAGAGAAGGAGTTTAGGTGTTTGATTATATTATTTGAATATAAATGTACAGAAATGAATAATAATACAAGATACCAATTATAAATTTGATTATTCATTCACTTATAATTCATGGATTTTTCATTCGATTGAGAAGGTAAAGAATTCAAACGAATGTTTCCCAAAGGATACAGTGAACAAGGAAAAAAAAGGCCAAAACAAACTTCAAATAAATAATTCCTGTTAACCCTTGGGAATGCTTCCTAATTGTTGCGCCTTTGATCCTGGACTACATATATTCTTCACTAATGACTCTGCTTAATGAGCGAACCTACAGCAATTAACTCACCAACCACTTCTCCTTTTTCCTTTCACGCAGTGAAAGTCCTCTAATTCAATTTATGGAGAGTTTTTCTCCAATTTCCAGTGAGGAAATGTCAATTAAGGTAATTCAAGAGATGCTTCCAGGATTTTCTACCGATAGATTTATAAATTTTGTATCAGCTAATTACATAACTAAATGAGCGGAAAAATGTTATTCTTTTCTCGGTCGAAAACGTGCTGTTTTGAATTCAAGTGAAAACGTCTGCGATTTAGCAAATTTATTCAGGTTTGAAAAAACTTCTGACGCTGGCATGAATAACAGCAAATTCCAATTTTTTTCATTATGCTCAACCACATTACTTGTATTCCGTAAAGCATTCCCGTGAATACCAGAACGATTGTAATAGATTTCCGAGGGACTACTCAATCCTAAAATCATGCTGCCACTCTGTCATGGAATCAATTTGAATTTAAATCATTGAATTCACTGAAATTTGCAGAAATCAACGAATTTCAACTCTCCAAAATCATTTTTGACATCATCTCGGAAATCACGCTGAACTCTGGAATCAACGAAATCAATTAACGTCAATGAAGTCGGAATGCTAAATTACTGGTGTAGTGCGGATCATGCGAGCAATTTGAGATTTTTAATTCATGTGGAATCATTCTTGTAATTTTTGGTCTATAATACAATGTTCAGAAATTAATTGTTTTACCTGAATTATTAGAGATCAGTTCAAAATGAACCGTTTTTGATGAGCAATAACTTGAGATTGGCCGAGTGAAATCAAACGAATTTGGTACTATTCTCCAATTATTGCTACAAAGTTTGGACATGAAACCAAACGTATATAAATAGTAGGGGAGGGTAGGGCAAAATGGACCACCTGAAAAAAATTAAGTGCTTTTTTCATAATAATTTTTTCAACTATTTGTTATTCATTGTGGAAATAAACATGATAAATACTGTGGAAAACAATGAGAATCAACAGAAATATGGATAGGAACAACCGTAATTTCCATAGTAATTCCGATAAAATGCCCGGTGGCTTGGCGCAGTGGGTAAGTTCCCCGAGTAGAAATTTAGGCAGACCTGTTGACAGAGAAGGCCCTGCTCTGGTATCGATACGGTATATCTGATTACTGCATGCCAGATCAGGGCCTGAAGGGAACCATTGCATGTTCACCTTACCAATAAATTCCAAACTTTAAGCAGGCATGCCTGATCATGCCCCAGTCAGGGCCTTGTGAGAGTACCGTAATAGAGAAAAATTAAAGTTACATCAAGCATGTCTGATAAGGGAAATTCCGGGGTCTTTTTCAGCCTGTTTTGATTGAACACGAGTGCTTGTTGAGTATACCGGATACGGCCAACTCGATCCGGCCATGATCAGGACCAGGTAAGGTATGCCGGGAATCCTTAACTTCGAAAATTCTATAAGTTCAATATGGCGAACCTGATCCGGCAATGATCAAGTCCGGATAAGGCATGTCGTACGGGACTTGGAAAAATTTTCACCAAACAAAGAGTCGGGGTGGAAATGGTAAAGGGGAATGGGTCGGAGGGGAGGGGGGATGATGATCAGAAAAATTATACTAATTGATATTATTCTCGATTTAGTTCAATACTACAATTTTATTGGGAGTATTATTGGTATACTCAAAACAAACGATCATTTTTAAGATTGATACGGTGGTCGAGTGGATAGGGTACACAACTTCTCTATGCGGAGGGTCCTGAGTTTAAGTCCCGCTTTGGGTGCTTTTCTTTCTTTTTTTCTCGACCCGCCGATTCTGGGACCACTAGTTATTTATTTATTTATTATTCATTTTTGGCCCAATTTAATAATTCAGTTAGCAATTTTTTAATTTGTAGCAAAGTCTATGCCATAGGTAATGGCGAAACCCGGCCGTCTGTCACGGCCCTTATCAGGTTTAGAAATCAGGTCCTGATCATGCTTTGCGTTACATTTCCTATCAGGCCCTGATGTGGTAACCCTAACAGGGCCGGGTCTTTTCTACGGCACAGCGGACCAGGGCCTGGCCAGCCAAGTATTAAAATTTCTACTCGGGTCGTTGCCTCCCATGCGAAAGGTTCCGAGTTCAAATCCCGGCCGGGTAGAATGGTGCGATCTAACCATTTAAAGTATTGATCATCGTCGCAGTATACCCTAACCGGGTCGAAGCGATGTAAAATAACGATAAAAAAAAAATTCCGATAAATGGAAATTGCCAATTGGACCTTCCCAACTCCTAGCAAGATTTTTTTCATCTAAAAAGTACGTAACAATAACAGAATAATCAAATTTACAAATCAATAATTGGACGCATTTTCAAATAACAATAATTATTTTATGTTAAGCATTTGCGTAATCGTCACACTCCAATTTAAAATCGTCTGGATTAATCCCTACACATAATGAGTCCATCTTAGTACATCTGACGCTGAATCCACTCTTCGGTACTATCGCAAAACGACAGGTTCACTAAAATTTATAAGAATTTCATAAATGAAAAAATAAGGGAGTCCATTTTGGTCTACCCTCCCCTATTGATTGAGTCTGAGCAGCAGACTTTTACAATTTGAAACAATCCGGTTTGTCTCATCTTTCTTATTCATTAAATGGGCTTCATTCATCGTGATTCCGATTACTCTACTTTCTATCATATCACTGATTTTGAAGTGAACTGCACTTGAAGTCATGGAAATTCTATCTTCGAAAAATCACTGGAATTAACGCTGTAATTACTTGAAATCGACTGCATTTCGAAATCATTGTTATTCGATCATGGAGTAACTAGTCCCTCGTTTTTAATGGAATTATTCACAGACTCTATTTCAAGGAAAACCCTCGCACTACTGTACACTGAGAAAGAAAAAACTTTCATCAAGAGATTTCGTAGTTGTCCAAAGCACGAGGATAATTTGTTTATGACAAGAAAGTGGTTTCTAAAACCAAGCCTAGTTGAATCGATTAATTCCATAATTTTTGAGTCTCAAATCTGAAATATTTTAATACAAAAACCATTTGACTTGGTTCGAGAAGTTGTTTTCTTGTTGTGAACAAATTGCCCCTCATCTTTCGAACAAGTACAAAAGGTTTTAACGAAAGGTTTCTTTCCTCAGTGTGAGGTATTTTCTTCTCGCCAATTTTCGAGCTATAAGTTTGTTGATGCAGGTAAAAACGTACGGCTCAAAAAACTTTTTTCTCAGTGTAGTAAAGTAAACAACTTTCTGTTGATGTGCACGCTATTTAAAAAGTTTTTGCAGTTGATTTTTCAGCAGTAGACTCTACCATCGCATTGGTCCTACTGTAAACCCCAGTAAACATGGGTGGTAGCATCTCTCTCATTTGATATATTACCACCTTTCCATGCATTTTTGTTAATTTACCTCATTTTCACCGCCCAGGTAAGAATTGACGATAGAAACAGGGCTCATCAAGCCCCGGACCAAGGCTCGGAAATGCTCAATCAGGGCTGGGGCTCAGCCTTGGATCAATCTTTCTTCAGCCCTACAATGATAACCTCGTTTCAGGCTTAGCCCGCAAGGCTTAAACGAGGCTCGATGGCAAGGCTTGATTCAAGCCTTGAATTACCACATTTTAAAGGCTCAATCGCGCTTCGGCTAAATAAACTGGAGTATTGTTTACAGATATTTGTATAAACAATTTCTTATTGCTTCATAACCCTTTTTATGAATTTAGAGTAACCTATGAAAGAGAGTGCGGTCGGACCGTACATCACCGTTGCTAAGCGTTGTTGGTGATTGTGATTGTCGGTTAATTAACAATGGATGGGAAAAAAATTATTATCATCATTAGTTTGTATTAATTATTCGTCCTGGATTATTACCGCGCACCTGGAAATTGAAATACAAATGAAATACATGAAATCAAACATTTAAAAATTTTTTCTCCTGCTGGGGTTCGATCCGGGGTCCTTCTGATCCGTAGACAAGCGCGCTATCCACTAGGCTACCTGCGACTTCTTAAGATGATACATTTTTTTCGGGGATAAAAATTCAACTTGTGTTAGTGTTATTTTGTTAATATCCTAATTAAACTTCCTAAACTTGAATAAATGATAGGTCCGATGGATTTATGAGTTCAGAATCGATTTATTAATTAATTATAGATAAGGATAATAATAATTATGTAGCCTCGTGCACAAAGAGCTGCTCTAGGCCTGGCCTGGGGTTAACTTAGATAACTTGGCGGAAAATTATAGCTATGTTTGTAGATGACGATAATGTTTTCACCACCATTAGCTGATAAGTATTGATATAAAAATTGAGGAAATTAATCGGAAGTAACTTTAATTTTCGAGGCCTTGCTGAGCCCTGAATAAGCCTTGATGTACTGAGCCTAAATACTGAAAGCCTGGACTAGGTCTGAATTGAGCCTCGCCAATGGCTCCTTTAATCATGCTCATTTGAAGCTTAAGTGAACGGTGAAACCAAGCCTATCCTAGGCTTGAATAACTGAGCCTCACCAACCCTGGGCTCATACAGGCTTGCTCTCATCGTCAGCCTATGTAATTCTTACCTGGGTGGTGGCTAAACTCATACTGTTTATTCTGCAAATTTCATACGTCGGTGGTCGATTGGGAGAGGGTTGGGGGGTGAGAGGTAACAGTTAGTAACCTTATGTGTAGAAAAAGTGAACTCGTTCTGGTGAGCAAAGGCACATCCCAGTGATCGAGAGAGTCCAGAGGACTGTATTATGATGTACCGGCATGAAGGCGTGATGTATCGCATACGCTTGCGCGAAAACTCCCCCAAAGTTCTCGAAGTCGCCTGGACGGTTTTCACGATTCAGTCGGCAAGCGATATTTGAACATGGTCCATCACCGGTTACTCAACAACCGCGACTCAAGTGATTTATCACCCTCGAAAGTATAATAGAAACATTGAAATTAAATTCGGACGCATTTAAAATTCATTCAAGTTTGTTATTTATTTAATTGGAAAAAAATATATACATTTATAAAAATGGATCAGGCGTTTGGTCTGGTAATTATTCATTAAAATGCCAGATGCTTGTAAGTTTGAAGCACTAAAAAACTCAATCTTAATGAAACTGTTGCAGGAGTTTGCCATTAAAAGTTGACAAAGTGTCGCAGTTTGCGAGAAGATAAAAAAATTCAAATTGAGTGCTAAAAAACAGGAGAGTCAAGAGAAGGACTAAACAAGAGTAAATTCCCGTGAACAAATAGAAACTTCAATGATGGTGATACCAATGACACTGGATATTTATTCTAGTTATATAGTTAAGTGTGTTGAATGAGCGAGGTTCCCACTTGAAAAAAAAAATTATCTCTTTTATCTGTTTTTCAAAGTTGTGAACTTGTGTTAAAACCTTATGTTGTGGGGTGAGGAGATACGAGCATAAAGGTACTCCAACAGGTGGCCGTAATCCAGTGCACACGATTCTCTACCCACGTTCAACGTAGTTGCTCGAGACAATCACATTCTGTGAATTATCGCAATTCATTTCTTCTCGAATTAGCTCTTGCTTATTAAATTAAACGTCAAAAACATAAGGCAGCACCAGAAGTGCTTGCAGAGTTCCATCCGTTGGATAAACAAAGGAACACTTGTAGGATTGTGGAAAATTAATTAGGAAAATACGAGTGATGAGAACGATAATGCCATAGAAAGTAGAAAGAACAAACGAAAACTGAGTCGAAAACTTTTTCCGTAGGGAAAATTTTATCAAGGGCTTTGTGAGCATTACGTAATGGAATTTTCCATGAACTTTTTCAACTTTTTCCAAGCTTCTTTGCGAAGAAATCTGAATTTTTTCTAGTCAAACAAGCCGTAGCATGTATAATAAAACGAACATAAATGTTACAATGCTGAGAAAGAGATGAAGTCGATCAACACTCGCAGGACTGTGGAAAATTGATCACGAAAGTAAAGCTAAGCAACGTAATACATGCGTAGAACCTGATAAGATCAAGGAAAGGTGATCGAAGAAGCTTTTTTCTAAAAGGAATTTGTGGAGGAGAATGATGCTAAAAAGCGTTATCATTAGTTATGTCGACCTATAGCGGGCGGCATGGCTTTAGAAAGCTAAAAAGCATAATATCATAAAGCGTGAAAAGAACTAAACGACAGGGAAAAGTCTTCCCCTAAAATAGAACTATATCGAAACTTATACCGACTTTTGAAGCCCCCCTCAAATCTTTGTGAAGGAGCCTCAAATCTCCTATTCAATCTCTGAGACGCTTGTAAAGAGGACAGCGACTCTCGAGAGCACAGTGAGGAATTCTGTTTATGAGGGCGACAAATCCGATCACTATATGTACCATCCTCAAAAATGAATTTATAATAAGACCAAGTCCAATAGTCTAACTTGGAACCGAAACATTGGAATAGATTTCTCTTGCGAGAACAATGGCGTTCAGAGTCTCGATGGAATCTTCCGCCAACATTCAATATATCATTACGTCTTCGTTTTGAAGTAAGCCACCAAAATGAGTACCGAAATGCTCGAAAATGAGACAAGTCTGTTGAACGGATCTGTTCAGAACATCGCAGAAGACTACCTAACTACGAACATTTGGGTCCAAGGTATTTTCTATCTGCTATACGGCGCAATATTCCTCATAGGCGTGTTCGGAAACGCCTTGGTCTGCTACGTAGTCGCTCGAAACTCTCAGATGCAAACAGTGACGAACTTGTTCATAACAAATCTAGCCCTGAGTGATGTTCTCCTTTGTGCCCTTGCGGTTCCTTTCACTCCGCTCTACACGTTTCTTGGTCGTTGGGTCTTTGGCCAAACCCTATGCCACCTGGTGCCATACGCCCAAGGAGTCAGCATCTACATTAGCACATTTACATTGACGAGCATCGCAGTTGATCGTTTTTTGGTGATAATTTATCCTTTTCATCCTAGAATGAAGATCAAAGTTTGCTTGGGCATTATTTTGGGAATTTGGGCGTTTGCGCTGCTGTTAACCCTACCGTACGGCGTCTACATGACCCTAGAAGAGCCTTACACGTATTGTGAGGAACATTGGCCCAGTGTTCGCCTGCGAAAATTATTCAGCTCGTTCACTTCGATACTACAATTTGTCGTGCCATTCTTTGTCATTGCCTTCTGCTACATCTGCGTTTCTATTAGGCTAAATGATCGGGCAAGATTAAAGCCTGGGAGTAAAACTAGTAAAAAAGAGGAGGCGGATAGGGAGAGAAAGAGACGGACCAACAGGATGCTCATAGCTATGGTCGCAATATTTGGGGTTTGCTGGCTGCCATTGAACATGCTAAATGTCGTGGATGACTTTTATGCTGACACTAACCACTGGACATACTACAGGTTGTGTTTCTTCATCACGCATTGGCTGGCTATGAGCAGCACGTGTTACAACCCATTTCTCTATGCCTGGCTCAATGACAACTTCCGGAAAGAGTTCACGCATGTATATACTTTGCCTATTATATAGTTTAAGGGATTGGGGAAGGGAAATAATTGTGGGATGGAGTGGAAGAAAACCACTCCGAAAGTTAGTCGCAAATTTATTTTATTTGACTCGAGGTCTGTACGATGAGTAAACTGGTCCGCGGTCACGGGAGAATCAAAATTCTGAAAGTTAGAGAGAGACAGTTAGGTATTAGAAAATGGCTGTGGTTGAATTTATAATAGGTTTAATCCCTTGACTACACGGAGAGAAATTTTCTAGAAAAATTCTAGTACGAGTACTGGAAAAAATCAGAATCCACCGGCTATGAAAAATTCTAGGGCTGTTAAGGCAAAATTTCTTGGTATTTCTGGTAAAATTTCTCGGGATTTCTGTGGATTTTTCACACAAATACGGGGAAAAATTCACGTTTTCCCCAATAAAATTTCTAGTGCCGCCACTGGAATTATTTCCTGGCTGTCACTTTGCGCCTCTTTTCCCGTGCTAGCACTAGAATTTTTCTAAAAAATTTCTCTCCGTGTACGGCATCTATATATCATATGGATCTAAGCGAAAAAGCATAACTCTTTTCAAAATTGGATGATTTCGAAATTCTGACAGATAATGAAATTAAACCAAAGCCATTGGAAAACCAGATTGGAGAGCTTTAATTACATATACGATTCATAATTTTTCATCCATCGGAAGTTATCGAATCTCAGTGATATTGAACCCTAGTTAGACTTGGCAAGAGAAGGGCCCCGACGTGAGGTGGTTCATGATGGTTATAATAAAAATAATAATAAAATCTCAGTTTCATGAATTTTTAGCATGAATGATGAATCACCTTCATGGAATAAATGATTTTTCTCTTTTGACTCAAGTTTTTTGAAGTTTCTAGTTTCCTGAGGATCATTTTTTAATTACAAGAATAAGCCCGTCATTTCTATTGCCATTCCGCAATCATAAATAATGTAATCTTGTGATTCACAAAATATCGGGTTAAATATCGGATTAAGCATAATGAACACACAAACAGGCTCTTTCTTTTTGTATTAACTATTAGGTACATAAAATATAAATACTTGGCTGAATAAAACCCCCGGGCGATGGCCAATGAACTTGCAACAAATTCCGTTAAAAATAAAAAAATAATAATATCGGATTATATAGGTAGTATGATTTTACAGATTGTTTCGATATGAGTCTCGTTTTGTCAATGAAAATAATGATTCTTGGTACAAGACTAGAAATTTTCTCAAAATGAGAAACGACTTACAGCTCACCAAATGAGATGATTTATCGTCCGGCGTCTGAACGAATGAGACTCGCCAGACACCAGTGGTGAAACCCATTAAATTAAGTAGCAATTCGAATACAATAAAAGTTTACACTAAAATGTAATTGAATTCATGCACATTGCATTGTATTTTTTAAGAGGGAAAAATAAATTTCCCCGTAATAACCATTTTTTTCGTTCAAATTGACGCACCAATTGGTTCGATTACTGGACGATTCACCCTGTTGCACGAAAAATCCATAAAAGTATAGGAAGTCTTGCATTCTTGTCATCATTGAACGCATGAATGGTTCTATCTCAACGGATTTCTGAAGTCTAGCATTTTTTATCCAACCTTCAAATCTTTCTCTTTGCTCCCTTTTAAAGGTAAGGTACATTAAACTAGGCCACTCAGTTGAGTGTTCGCTCTTAGAATCGTATTTGGGAGAATTCGGTGAATCGAATGCTTGACTGAAGGCTCCCTCCCACGCCCCTGTGTCGAGGCACAATTTGCGGCTTCAGAAGGGCTGGAAAGGGCAGAATGTCGACAATCAGAGTAAGCGTGGGAGATATGGCGATACGTGGAACTCTACTCAGTGACCAAAGATTTCACGAAAGCGGCCACTTACCGTGTGCGCACTCAGCAGGCGTCCACTGTACATGACATCGAGGGACTAATAACTTCAGAGTCGAGAAATACTACGCGTTCAAATGTAGCTGATTTCAGATAATTATTTTCAGCTCACTTAATCCAATTATAGTCCATAGTTTTTAGACACAGGAATCATTGACGCAAGAGCCAATTTAGAAGACGAGAAAAGACACTCGCAGGAGCGAGATGAAGGGTATTTTTCTCTCATTCTCAGTGAATTTCTTCTTCATTTTCGCCTAGCGTTCTTTTATTTGACAATTTCACGTAAGTTCACTAAGCAGAACTGATTCCAGTTTGTAACTCGGCAAAACTTAATGAGCCAATTTGTCATGTTTCGTCAAGTATGAATTCTCTTGATGATAAATTATTTCAGGGGAAACTATTTATTGGTATTATATAATATCGTTATATCATATATAATATCACTACATCATAGAATAGAATATAAGCAATTTATTATTTCCCTGAGATATAAAAGATCCTCTAAGGGAAAACCAAAATATCACATAATTATTACAAATGAATCTTATGAATTATTCACATTATTACAATTTTGTTTCCGTTTAATTTTCCGTCGTACATTAGTCCTCATTCGTTATTTATCTCACGTATTACTATTACAATATCGGGGAAAATGGCTGCACAATGAGCGGAATTTTGATCCTCGGTAAAAATCTTCCGGAAATTTCCCGGAAATCTCCGTAGTTTTGCGGAGAGATTTTTTCCGACGATCAAAATTCCAGTAATCATATATGACCCCGAATATTGTACTTAGTTTGGTCAAAATAAGAACACAAATAATAACCCTTTGATAAGGGGACATGGGGTATTCTTAGGATATTTCTCCCAAGTTTGCTCGCACATCAACAACAGGGATAAGTTTGGCAATAAAATTTCAATCTGCTGAACTGATGATCTCTCTAGTTACTAGGCGTTATTAGGCTATAATACGTTTCGAAATATATGACAACTTTGAAGGTCTTGGAGTATTATAACCAAGAACCGATGGGGTTGAGAATTTTTCCTTTGCAATCGATGAGCCGGTCGATTCGTTATTAGCAAAAACGTTCAGGATATTCGATTTTTTTGCCTGTGAGGAAAGAAAGGGAATATCATTCGTTAATAGTCTTAAAAAAAATTCTTAACAATAAATGAATGATTCTATCATCACATAATAGGAGCGAGCGCAGCGAATGAACAACAACCCACCTCAGTTTTTATCTCTTTATTTTTAGCCCCATCGACATCGAGGTCACTAATGACTATTTCCAAACAAAACTTAAAAAAAGATTTACGCAGATTTAATCTATGTAAATATAGGAGAGAATAGTGCGAAGTGGAACGTTTATGATTTCATTAAATTTTTGGATATTTTTGTTTATAAACACGAATATTAGGATTTTGAGCCGATGACAAATGCTCCTGTTCGCCCCACCTTTCCTAATTGAAGAAAAAATAGAAAAGAGTTATGATGGTCGTAGATGGGAGTTTGGTGTATTCGCCATTATGCAATTACATAATCGATATTAGAATAAATTATGTTACAGCAGGTTCAGAGCCCTGGACTCTCACAAATACGTTTTAAGATGGAAGTAATAATCGTTACCGTTCCAAAAGTCTCAAATTATCCAGCAGATCTATTTCCATAAGTGTTAGTATATTTATTGTAAAAGATAGTAAAAAATGTTGCACTGAGTTGGATATACCACATACTTCAGGTACGGGACATGAATTTTTAGCGAGACGCATGCTCGTGGATTAACGTTGTATATCCGATGCGTCTAGAATGTTTTGTTCCCAGAATATATGAACACTCAAAAAAATGTTGGAAATGGTTTTCATCTCGGTTGTTCTAGAAATCATTTCATCACAGGAAACGAGTTGACGGCTTTAGTAATTCCGATCATAACCGTTATTTCTGCATATGATGTCAAGTTCATTCCACTAGGAAGTGTTATACTAAAAACACCAATTTAACTCGTGTTCTGTAGAGTGTAATGTGATATGGGCAGAAACGAGATTAACGTAGTAGTGGGTAAATTACATTTCTGTCGAATGTGAGGTTTATAGATGTAGTTGAAAGTGAGGTTTGAAATCGTATTCGTTGAAAATCCTGTTTACTTACGAATGAGTTTTATTATTTCAAGTTTGTCCGTGGACGGAGAAAAAAAATCCATATAAATTACTCCGCTCGAAACGGTAAACACGATGGAATGGAAGCGTACGAGATATTTTGCATATGGTAGATGAGAAAAAGTACAGGGAGAAAATAAAATAGTAAAATTTCGTACGTCGAAATCTATACATAGTAAATATTCCCAAAGTTTAGTAGGTATTATTACGGCCATGGGAGTGACTACGATGGAACATCGGAAATAATTTTCAATGGAATTGACGCAAAAAAAAAAATAGAATTTTTCAATAGAATTGCAATAAAACTTAAATAGAATTCTCATAGAGCTCCAATAGAAATTCAATAGGAATTCTTAGAGAAAGTGCCAGGTTTTATATTCGATGATAGAGGGAAAAATCAGTAAATTTCAAATTTTATAGAAAGTTCAGTGGAATTCCATTTTTTTTTATAGTAAGAAGACAAGGATTTTCCAAAGTATTCAAATTTTAAATCGATATTCTAAAAATGCATAAATATCATTCTATTCCACCCTCCACTCGAAACGACACGACTCAATCGGAGCTGAGTTCTAAGCGTTGAGCCACAGCTCAAACTCAAGTGCCGGGTTATGCCGTCTGATGAGCGTTCGACTGTGAGCCGGTATGGAGCGGCGTGTCGCGGCGTGAACTCGGGTCAAGCGGCAAGGCGAGGCTGAGCCCGCGCTCACCCGAGTTGCGGCTGAATCCCCGGTTGAATTTCTACCCGGGTATGACCTTGAGTGAACTCCCTTAATCATTAGAAGCATTAAAAAATTAAGCGAAATTCTTGTCTGTAGAAAATAAGAAATTGAGGAAAAATGAATAATCATTGGAGGAATTCATCCAAGATCATGTGCAACATAGTAATCATCTAGAGCAACATGATTGTCATAATTGAAACCTAATCAGGCTCGGCTTGGAGTGATTCGATTGTAGAAA